CTGTGGTATAATCATACAACAGGATGCTACTCAACAATAAAAATTAACTTATTACAATTATATGAATGAATATCACAAACACAATGTAAAGGGAAGAAAAAGCCAGACTAAAAAGAAGACTTATTGTGTCTGTCTACTTATATAAAGTTTAGAAACAGACAAAACTATTGTATGGTGTTAAAAGTCAAGATGGCAGTTACATTTGGTGAAGATGGAGATGATAAGAATTGGGGAGAGGTACATGGTTGGGCAAGGGGCTTCTGAAGTGCTGGTGATGTCCCATTTCCTGATTGGGTCGTGGTTACAGGGCTGTGCTCACTTTGTGACAACTCACTGAGTTATATTAGTGTGACGCTGCAATTAAAAGTTTGGTTTGTTGGGGGTTTTTTTACTTGTTTTTCAGTCCCTCTAAGTATTTTTGTTTACCTAATTTCTAGTGAACACTTAACTCTTGATTTTCAGTGACTTCTCTTTTTGTCCTCAACCAATTTTACCATATTTTTAAAAGGTGTATTTTTTTAACCTGTAGCAGCCTCTTTGATTATGCTGGTTAATCACCAAGGAAAACTTTTTAAGTGCCTGGAAACATTGATCCAGAGATTATTATTTCTTGAATTTCCACTATCTCTGTAATTTACAGGGTTCTTATGGGTTGTTGCCTTTTAATATTCTACCTTTCAATTTTTCATTAACTAATTTTCCTGTTTTACCTTAGTTATCTCCCTCCTCCTACAAGAATGTTGAATTTAATTGGGCGTAAACACTATTACTGAAGGAATTACAGCTAACACCTGGCCTGGTTTATGTTCCAAGTCTATTTCCACATCCCTGAATCTTAAAAACATCACCCTTAATTTTCATCATAATAAGGCATTTTCCACCATTTGTTTCCTCAAGTAGTACTGTTTGGATTAAATTAAAAGCTTCTCTAATCTCATTTTTTACTCAGTCTTTTGGGACAGGTCAGGTGATCTACAACAGAGTGCTCCACCTTTTTATACTCACCTTTCACTGTTTCATCCGTTCAGTCTTAAATAATATAAGTATACCTTGCTTCTCACCATCTCACTCACTCCCTCACTGGTTCCCCAAAAAGGATGCCAAATATGTTCTAGCAAACCAATGAACAGGTAAGTTTTATTCATCTGGCAACGATTTGCCTTCTGATGCAACTTCCAAGAGTATATCATGTCATTAAATCAGCAAAGTTTTATTATATGTAAATGTGATTTTCAGACTTACATGAGAATGTGGTTTCCTCCCACAAACATTTTATAAATTTTTATTTTAAGATTATTTATTTCTTCCTCACATACAGGACCACTTCACTCTTATCTGCTCACCCATACCCTTCTTTTACTCTAGAATTATGTTCCATCCATCATCTTCCCATTAAATGATCAGATACGCTGCTAAGGATTTCAAATCTCCTGTTTAGCAATCCATGACCCAGCAATGAAATAAGAGGACCATTTTTCTCACTTGCCTTGGCAAGGCTTTTCCTGCCTGTATCAAATTGCTGTACTGTTGACTGATCTCTTGAAAATTGATCCTGAGTGCCCAGTTAACTGTTGCTGCACTATAAACTGCTCCAAAATTTAGTAGCATGAAACAACCACAGTATTAATATTACTCTCATGAATCCTAAGGTTCAGGAATTCACACAGAGCACAGGAGAGACTCCTGGTCTCTGCTCCATGAAGCCTGGTGCCCTACTTGGGAAGACTCGAAGGCTGGGTGTGACTCACCAAGGGCTGGTGTCATTTAGAGGCATCTTCATTCACACATCTGGCAGTTGTTGACCACCATTGGTTAGGATCTCAGCTGGGCTGACACAGGAGCACCCATATGTGGCCTCTCCATGTAGTCTTTCTGCATGGGCTAGCTGGACTCTCTCGTAGCACAGTGGGTGGGTTCTAAGAGTGAGCATTCCAAGAAAATAATGTCAGAGTGTGTGGCATTTTCACGACCTAGACTCAGAAGTTATATTGCTGGGGGCAGTCAAAAACACCCATCTGGGCTCAAGGGAAGGTACATGCACACCACCTCTTGATGGGAAGTGAAAGTTTCCAGAACAGAATGTGAAACTGAGAGTGTTGCAGCCATTTTTGGAAAATACAATCTGCCACACAAAGCTTCCACCAATCCTGTCTTTATGGTCTACAGCCTCTAGTTTCTCCCGGATTTCCAGAATTCTGCCCCTTCTTATATTTCTAACACCCCAGCTAGTAATTTCATCTGATGATGATGATGATGATGATAATGATTGAAATTTATCACATCTATATGCTATGAACTGGTCTAAGAGATTTAAATATATTAACTTATTGATCTCCATAGCAACCCTACGAGGCAGGTACTACTGTTATGCTCATTTTACAACAAGGAAACTAAGGTACAGAGAGGTTAAGAAACGTGGCCAAAGTCATACACTGTTAAAGAGAAGATCTGGAATTTGAACTCAGAGAATCTCCTTCCAAGGCCTGTACTCATAGCAACTACTCTTCCATTTAGTCAATAAATACTAATTGAGCATCTGACAAATGAAGGCACTCTTCAAAATTCAGGGGTAAGGAGTGAACACAGTAGATAAAATCCCTGCTCTTTTGGAGTTTGCACTCTAGTGAGAGGAGACAAATGACAAACAAGTAAGTGAGTATTAATAAATACACATCAGATTATAATAAGTGGTATGGAAAGTAAGGCAGGATAAAGATGATAGCAAGTCCCAGAGGTGAGGAAGAAGACTTATTTTAAATATGCTGGTCAAGTAATGTCTAATAAAACATGTTATTAGAGGCCTGAAGGAAGCGAGATATGGGAGAGCCATGTGGATATTTGGAGGCAGAGCACTTCCAAGCAGGGAACAGCAAAAGGTCCTGAGGCAGAAGCAGGTCCGGCATGCTCAATTGAGAAGCCCAAGTGGCTTGAGCAGGACAGGCAAGAGGCAAGGTCATGGAGACAGGTGAGGACCAGACCACCAAGGGTCTTGAAGGTCACTGTAAGGTCTTTGGATTTTACTCTGAAACCAGAATCCACTGGAGGACTTTGAGCAGAAGGGCAATGTGATCTGCTTTAAACTTTTATAAGGATCACTCTGTCCGCAGTATGGAGAACAAACTGTAAGGGAGCAAGAGCTGGGGCAGGCAAATCAGTCCAGAGACCCTTAGGATGGTCCAGGAAAAGGATGGCATTAGCTTGAGCCAGGTGGCAACTGTGGTGGAAGTGGTGAGGTGTCTAATTGTTAGAGCAACATAAGGAAGGCTTTATTCAGGAGCATCACAATAGCTATAGGGACCACTGCAACAGAGTCTTGCAGGGGAAGGGATTGGGCAAACTCCAAATACAGCAGGGGCAAGTGGGAATTTATAGCCAAGGAGCAGGGTTGGGAGTCAGTGTATGAAAAATTACTAAGAAGAAACATCAGGGGTAAGGAGGATTTGGACTAAACCAACCTAACGGGATTCTTGCTTAAGATAGGCCAGAGTGATCAGACATCACCTGGGGGATGGTGGAATACGAGGTACCAGATCAGATACAGAAGGTGATCAGATATCAAGGGTGGGGGCTTCTTGCTAAACTGACTTAGCAAGGCTCTTTGTTAAAACTGGATTTTATGAGGAAGTGTATGGATGGGCCTAGGAGAAGGTTCGTAAGCCTGACTAAAATTTGGCCAAGAAAACAATCTCTGTCATAGCCTCAATCCCAGGCACACTTTGTTTTTTGGTCTCTAGAGATTTCCTTTATTTTTCTAGCTAACTTGGCAATACATTTAAATGGAGGTGTGTTAAATTTTATCCAACATATCCAGGAACTTTATACTGGGAGTTTTTTAATATACATGCCATTATAGTGTTCCTCCCAAATGTTTTTCAAATATCACTCAGCTTGCAATGTGTGGAATAGTTTGGAGAGGAGAAACGTGAAAAAGCAAGATCTATTAAGAGACTATTGCAGAAATTTAGACAAAAAAGAATAACGTCTATGAGAGTTGTAGCAGAGATAAGAGAGAAATAGATGGATCTAGGAGACATTCAGTAAGTAAAGTCAGCAGGGTTTCAGACATCTGATTTCTTAGAGGAGAAATCTGAGTTGCACAGAAGATTTGGGAAGTCTTCTATAAAAAACTGGTAACTGAATTCACGGCATAGAAGCTTGGGAGAAAGTATAGAGTAGAAAGAGAAGGTCCTAGGACCCAGCTCTAAGGAATACTAACATGTTAAGAACTTAGAGGAGGGGGAGCAAGCATCAGAGACTGAAAAGAGGTAGGAGAAAGACCCAGAAGGTAATATGGCTTTCACTGAGGCCAAGAGACCAAGCGTTTCCAAAGGGAGGAAGGAGTCAGCAAGTGCCCAGTGATACTGAGAGGTCAAGAAAAATGACTGAAAACCAAGTATTAGATTTGGTGACACATCGGAAATCTGTGTTCTTGGAGAGAGAGGAAATGAATGATAAAGGCAAAAAACAGACGAAAATGAATTGGAAACTAGGAAATGGAAACCACACTTTCGAAGAGTTTGGCTATAAAGGCGAAGAGAAAGAGAGAATATTAGCTGGAGGAAAAGAGGGGTGGAGAAAGGTAATTTTAAGATGAGGGGAAGTCTGGAATGTTTAAATGCTAAGAAGGATCTAGCGGGAACAGGGAGAAGAGAAAACAAGCCGAGTAGGAAGAATCCATAATGCCAGTAGACGGATTCTCTTGGATTACTGACCCACCAAACTAAATGAACAGAATTCTGCGGTTTTGATAGCTTCGGGTTTTAGGTAAAGGGTTTTGCTGGTTTAGTTTGGTTTTCTACACTAACACCCTTCGGTCTAATCCCAGTTTCCCCCGTCTTGCTTCCCAAAGAATATAATCTATCTTTACAAATCCTTCCAGGTCTCGGAGAAGAGCCACACCCAGTCGCACTCCTGTCCGCCCCCAATTGGAGGCGCTTCCCGGAATACGCATGCGCAGAGACGTCGAGCCGCGCCAGAGGTGGGATGAGCTTCACAGCTAGCGCAGGCGCGTTAGGTCCCGGCCGCTATGCGGGTGCTTGTGGGTGAGGGAGGGCAGAGAGGGCGTATGGGGGCGGGTTTAGCCAGAGATTGAGGACTGGGAGGCCGTTGCGGGGAGGGCTATGTATCCTGCTCAGGCTGCCTCGCCTTGGCCTCCTAGCCCGAGAAGCCGAACCTCCCTAACTCCTGTGACCTCTGTCACCTCTGCATCGCCGGGAGGGAGAGAGGAGGAGGGCGGAAGTCTGGCGTCAGATGGGATGGCACCAGAGCCGGGGGCCACAAGCGGGGACTGAGGGCGCTTCCCGCCCCCCGGGAATATAAACAATTTGTTTATTCCGATCAGGTGGCGGGACAGGCTTCATTGGGACAGCCCTAACCCAGCTGCTGAAAGCCAGGGGCCACGAAGTGACACTGGTCTCCCGACAGCCTGGGCCGGGCCGGATCACGTGGGTATGTCTGTCCTCTGGAAGCTGGGTGGGAAGGCGGCGCAGGGCGGGGCCAGGGGCACTGTGTGCTTTTGTCTGACAGGATGAGCTCGCTACGTCCGGGCTGCCCAGCTGCGATGCCGCCGTCAACCTGGCCGGAGAGAACATCCTCAACCCTCTCCGAAGGTCAGCCCGGGCCCTAAAGCTGACAGCCTCCAGAGCAGAGGGAGGGAGAGGGTCCAACTCTGAGGAGACCCTGTGAGCTGTGGCTAATGGAGCTGCTGGATTGAAAACTAAGCTGATATCCCAGACTGCTCATTCCACCCATTTGCCCCTCTACCTAGTCAGCCAGTTGGCTTAAGTCCTCATGTATAACTTAGGATGCCCAAGAAAGCTATGCCTTTTCCCTCTACAGGAGACATGGATTTTTTCTCAAGACACAATTCGGGGTTTTACTAGAAATGGGTATGGAACAGTTCCCAGGGAGAGAGGGAGGGATAGGTGCATGGATGTATTTAGTGGCTTTTTATTTCTTCTGTGTTTCTCCTGCAGGTGGAACGAAGCCTTCCAAAAAGAGATTCTTAGCAGCCGCCTGGAGACCACCCAAATGCTAGCTAAAGCTATCACAGAGGCCCCACAACCCCCCCAGGCCTGGATCTTAGTCACAGGTGTAGGTATGCCCTCAAATCCGCAACCCGTTACATTAGCCAGGGGAAGGGTAGAGGGTGCAGAGTGAGAGGGTAGCTCAGGCCCTTACCCCAGAGCTCTGGTCTTTTCCAGGCACAATAACTTCCTAGGCCCTTGATCCACGCATGTTTCTCCTACCCTTTGGATACTTTGAGAAATGGAGACCCCGAGAGAAAGAGGGAGGAGTGGCACTGCTCCTAGTGCCAGGGAAAAGTCCACCTACTCCCAAGTCCCTTGCTTCTCCCACAGTTCTCCCCCACAGTTCTTAGTACAGAGTTCCTGATTGTTCTATATCACCCTTGGGACCAAATAATTGCAAACAATTATAATGGCATGACAACCACTATTTGAAGTGCTTTATACGTATTACATCATTTAATCCTCACAACAACCCTATGAGGTAGGTACTATCATTCCCATTTTAAAAATGTGAAAATTCCATACAAAGAGGTTATGTAATTTGTCTAAAGTCACAGAGTTAATAAATGGTGGAGCTGAGATTAAAATTCAGGCAGCCTGGCACCCAAGTTTCTGTTCTTAACCACTATACTCTAGCAGCCTTTAAGTTTAGCCCTGCAACCAAAGATAAAAGTTCCTCCATGGCAGAACAGACCAGGTCATGGAGAAGCTCAAGGGGAAAATATCCATGGCTCTGTCCTCACTTGGGGAGATGCCAAGGGCCAAAGAGGGTGAGGCCAAGGGGAGCCTCCAGTGCAAAGAGCCAGGCGGGAGCAAGGACTGGTGAGCAAACGAGTGCTGTTCCACCAGCAGCTTACTACCAGCCCAGCCTGACAGCAGAATATGATGAGGACAGCCCAGGAGGGGATTTTGACTTTTTCTCCAACCTCGTGACCAAATGGGAAGCTGCAGCCAGGCTTCCTGGAGATTCTACACGGCAGGTGGTGGTGCGCTCTGGTGAGAACCAGGGACCTGGGTACCAGATGGGGTTGGAACTTCCTCTGGGTTGGGGGAGTAGTGGGATCAGGGGAGCTCAGCTTACAGAGAGTAGGAGGATGCCACCACTTCTGGCTAACCTGCAGACAGGAGGATGGGAAGTCCCAAAGAAAGCCACATCCTTCCACTCAGCTGAGTGAGTGGGCATGAGGAGAGGGGAGGCTGAGAAAGTGGGAGGAGCAGTATGGCTGCTTCGAGGCTCAGGGGCCTCCCTGTACCATCTCTCTTGCCTGCTCTAGGGGCTGTGCTGGGCCGTGGGGGTGGTGCCATCAGACTCATGCTGCTGCCCTTCCGCCTGGGCCTGGGGGGCCCCATCGGCTCAGGCCAGCAATTCTTCCCCTGGATTCACATCAGGGACCTGGTGGGAATTCTGACCCATGCCCTTGAAGCAAACCACGTGCAGGGGGTCCTGAATGGAGTGGCTCCAGCCTCCACCACTACCAATGCTGTGTTTGCCCAGGCCTTGGGTGCTGCCCTGGGCCGCCCAGCCTTCCTTCCTCTTCCCAGCATTGCCGTGCAAGCTATCTATGGGCGAGAGCGTGCCATCATGCTGCTGGAGGGCCAGAAGGTGATCCCACGGCGGACGCTGGCTGCAGGCTACCAGTATTCCTTCCCAGAGCTAGGGGCTGCCTTGAAGGAAGTCGTAGCCTAAGTATTCGCGCATGGCCAGGGCCTGAGTTCTGTCTGTCAACAGAGGCTTCCTGGTTAGACACTGCATATAGGCTCAGCTACTCTTCTGCTTGAGATCTGAAGCCATCTGGTTCTTAGGGATTCCCCCTTCCTATTCTGTTGCCTTACCCTATTTAACTGGCAGACTGTCCATAGTCTCAAGGCAGTAATCTCATCAGGTTGGGGCCTTAACCTCTTTGACTCCTTGTGAAAGGATTTCCAAGCTTGGTGTCTGCATATCTGTTGCTGCCCCGCTTCTCCTTTGTGCTGTGTAGAGAACGCTCTGCAGTTCAGGCAATAAAGATGAATTATCTCGCTAGCCTCGGCGCATCTCTTTGACCTAAAGTCTCCTGGAATTTATTTCAAGGAATGTCATCCTAAATGATTCTTTCCCCTACATGGGGTTTTGAAAGTTACAATGGGCAACATCTCTCCTCACCCTCTTCCTTCTTGGTCCCTCTGTTGCCAAAAGAGCTGGTCACAAATTCGGGGCATGAGGTTATAATAAAGGTAGCAATTAAAAGATAAGAGATTCACATTATATGCATGTATCAAAACACATGTACCCTATAAAGACATACAACTATTATGTACCCATAATAATTAAAAATTACGAAGAGACAAGAGAAAATGACCCATTTCTAGTGGGTGCTATAGTTACCCTGCATGCCTGTCACAGGGTGCCATTAGGATGTCAACCGAGGAAGAGGTGAGGCCCAGCTATAGGGCAGCCTTCAGTCTGCGTCACCAAGTGGCAGTGAATTAATAAAGCAGTCACACGGTGGTATGGTAGTCCCAGTTTATCAAGCTGCAGCAGGATAAAGCCAGCATCCCTGTTTATAAGAAACCTAGGACTTGCCTCTCATCTGATTGTAGCCACTTCAGTCAAACCAGAGCCCTTAGCACAAAAGGGCAGAAGATACCTCTGGCCCTCTGCACACCCACCATCATTGCAAGTGAAAAGGGCAAGGAACTAATCAAGAACTATAAACTCACCCCTATCAGGAAAAAAAAGTCATAAGTTTTGATCTCCGCCATAATTTGACCAGAAGTAGTTCTCCCAGTCCCAGTTCAGGCCGTATTAATCTGCTTTCTTCTCAGAGAACTATGACCAGCCTGTCTCCAACACACCTGCCTCCAGCCTAGGTCAATATGGGCTAGTGTAAATCACCAACAGGGGAAAAGGGGAAGACACTAGGATCTGGGGACCCTCCCCATGCAGTATTCAACTCCCTGTGCCACTCAGAGGGAGGCAGAAGTCAGATCCAGAAAAGGATCTTGCCTAGGGACTCACTGCAGGGCCCAAACAGAACAGAACCCAGGGGCACCTGTCCCGCTTCTCTATCTGCTCTTGGACTTGAGGAAGTTGACTGGCTCTGCATTGTTCCTGGGGGAATGACTGGCCTCAGAGGTAAAAGTGACAGAAAAGCATATTTTAGGCTGCACTAAAGGAAGGACTCCTGATTATTACTGTCCACACAGGGAACGTGCTACCTTGGAGGTAGTAAATTCCTTGGCACAGGACTTGAAGCAGACACAGGGCAATGACCTGTAGGAATCAGAGTGGAGAGAGAGCATCCTGATGTGACAGCAGAGTTGGTCTGGGGCTAGTCAGGTGCCTTCCAACTCCGATTCTGTAGTTCTCATTTTCCAGAGAATCGGTGCATCTAGAACCAATTGGCTCAACCTCTATAAGCCCTGCCATCCCCATATACACGTGCACAAAGCAGAAGTGTGCCTCGCTTTATGCAGCATATGTCTTTTGTAGCAAAAATATTAGGGTCAGATCACATTAACATTGTCGATTGCAGAGCATGACTTCGTCAATTTGGTGAATGCTCTCAACACTTCAGTAAGTGCATCTAACCGGGGACTTTCTGACACATTTGTTAGTCTGTAAACAAACACTTGAATGCAACAGAAGAGCTGCCATTTATAGGAACCCTGAGAGTATTCCGGTAAAGCAAATAGTAACCCCTAATTTAACTATTTTCTAAATGTGGATTTTGGAGATTGCCCAAAAAGGATGCAGCCATTATAGGGCATGTTATACTGAGGACACAGTGTTAAAATCAAGGGTATGGGCCCTGGATATAGAGGACCCACATCTCTCTGAAAGTGAGGTTTGGGTTAGGAAGCCTGTACGGCCACAGGCAGCCACCTAAAACTTGGTCCAAGTACCTTCCATCCAAGGAGCTTTCCTCCATGTTCTCATTTCTCCTCCTAACAGGTATTTTTACCGCTGATTTACAGACAGAAGTAAAGGCCAAGCAGCTCAATCAGGGTCACAGGCAAGCACAGCTGAGACCAGAAGCCAAGTCTCCCTCTGCCTTCTTCACCAGCTCACTGCTACCCTACTGCGACCCAGCCCACGGAACACTATAGCCCTGCCAGGGCCTAGCATTCCCTCCATACTCCCAGGAGCCTAGGCAGGCCTGGGAAGCATCCTGTCTTCTGACCATCCAGAGCAACACTAGGGGGAGGAAAGGCTTAGCTTCCTGCCACCTCCCACCCACCCTAGCCTCCACCCCAACTCACTTGGAGGTGGAGCCAATAGCCCCAGTCCCCAGAACTTACGGAAACCTATACTAAGGCAAGGCTGAGAAGTTAAGACTGAGCAGAACCTCTTGAGAGCTGGTTGAGGTCCTGACTCGAGGTGAGATCAGGTCACTTTATGGACCTGTCCCCAAAGTGCCCAGGCAAAAACGTTCTCCATACTCGAATGTTCTTCCTCGGTGCTTCCTTACCCAAAGTACCAACTCAGAGTGAGGCTGGGTCAGAGTCTGAGCAGCAGAGAGACTCTCACAGAAGGGGCTGAGCTGGGGGAGGCTGGAGCTGACGGGACTGCAACCACTCAAGCAGGTGAGGCTCAGAAGTTGAGACTGAGCAGGGCCTCAGACAGCTGGTTAATGTCCCGGCAGTATGGCTCCCGCTGCAGGATGAAGTCCACCTTGTGATCCTGACCCCAAAACACCTCCAGCAGCTGGCGCCGGAGCCGCTCTGTCTCCCGGTTCTTCCGAATGCCACCACTGCCTTTTTCCTCTTCTCTCCCCTGCTGCTGATTACCATGTTCTATGAAGCCCCTGGAAGGACTGTGAGCTTTAGAAGACTCCTGTGTCCTGGGAAGAAACAGAACAAGAAGCGCTGATGAGCATCCTGAGAGAAATGTATCCCTGGCTCTGGGGGAGCAATTCTGAAGTTCCCCAAGCTGACCACTGAGCGGCAGCATCAACCCACTTCTGAAGGGGAGACTGACAGTTCTTTGGAACCAGGAAAGGTGAACCCTGCCACTACTATGATCTAGTTCTAGTCCTAAATTAACCCCTTACTTAATGGTCCAGCAGAGGGTGTGCTGACTACAACTGGCTATCCATATAAGCAACCACCTTCCAAATAACTCCACCAAACACACTGATTAAGGGAAACAGGAAGCAGGTGTTTCCCTCCCAGCCAGAAGGTTCTGTGTCAGTCTTCCCTAGGAAGCTTATAAAGGGCGAGCCCAAGGCAACTCAAATTACTGCAGAATTAAGCTGGCCCAAACTGAGGTCACACTTCTACCCAAGTCTCCAGGCCTGCAGAGAGAGGGCCAGGGCGAGGGGCTGCCTGCAGGAGTCTGGGGCATTACCTGGCTGGTTTCTTCAAGAACTCATCCAGGGTAGGGCCATTTCGCCCCAGCGGATCATCAGGGACCATGAAGAGGTTTCCCACGAAGGTAAAGGGCAGCAGGCTAGACAGAGAAAGAGAATGTGTGGTCACAGGGGGGCCCTTGCCCACCTCCCACACAGCTGAGATCAACACCACCAGAAGCTGCTGGCTACCATCCTCCGAGGTAACTTAAGTTCATTCCAGAGTTCTCACCCGGTGACCAGAGCAGAGCTGGTTTTAGAGAAAGGTCTGAGTCCATGCCCTATTCTCAGGGAAGGGCTCCCTCACCGCTCTCTGATGATTGCCATCCACTTCTCCGACTCCTCTGCCAGGTCCCGGAACTGGTCGTTGGAGACAATGATCCCATCGGTCTCTTCAGCCAGCTTCACCATGAACCTGTCCCAAAACCACAGCAACCATTCTGGGATTCTCCAAGGCCCCAACCCCAAAGTGTTACTGACTCCCATGACCCCCTTCTGGCGATGGAGATCTGCCTCCCCCATTCATCTTGACCCAGGTGACTGACTAGATACAAGTGCCATGGGTTACAGAGAAAATAAAGACGATGCAAGGTGGTCTCCTAACAGCATCTCATCCACTTAGCACAAACCTTCACCCAACAATTTGCCTTGTTAGTAGAAGGCAGTAAGATCTGGCACTGTCTTCCACCCTACGCCACCAGTCCCTCACAAATCCACATGTGCTTCCTCTGAAAAGCCTTCCACTCTGCTCCTTTCCTTTCCAGTCCCACCATTACCACCTCAATAACGCAGATATTGCAACTGAGATAATGCACAGCCTCGCAGCAAGGGGAGGTCCCTGCCTGTAACCATTCACCACCCTCCAGCCTCTCCTGCCCTCCCCCACGAAAGCATGCTCCTCCCCTATATAAAACTCTTCCACACTTGCACTTTATCTGCTGAAGAAAGTCCCCATGCCCAGGCCTGGCAGCTAAGGCCCTCGAGAACCCAGCTCCAAGTCACCCTTCCAGCCTTCTCTCTCCCAGTATTCCCTAATGGACCCTCAACTCCAGCCACAATCACCCTGCTCTCCAGACATGCCCTGTGCTGTCTAACTTCCATGTTTCTCAAACTATTCCCTCCATCTGGAAGGTGCTTCCCAACCTTGCTGATGAACAGAATCACCAGGGAAACTTTGAAAAAATAGATGCCTGGGTGCCACTTCAATAATTCTGATTCCACAGGACAGGGGTAGGACTCACGAGATGGCAGGTCGTGGTTTTTTTGACAGGTTTGGAAACCAAGAGACCCGAGACATCCCACATGCTTCTCAGTCAATAAAAAACTTGCAAATCCCCCCTTTCCCACAAAGCCCTAGCCAGGAGGGGGTTTCCTTCCCTGAGTTCCTATAATGTTTGATTTATAGTTTTTAGCTTCTTTTGGTTATTTGAAGTTAAGAATTAGGTCATTTGCTGAAAAATCAACTCAAAAAAAAGGAAAATTTAAAAAAAAGAAGAACCAGGTTTTGTTCCCAGCATTCCCACCTCCTCCTGCAGGCCATGCACCTACTACTAAGTGGGTAGTTGGTATATGAAAGACAGCGTTGTATAGAGGGGACTGGGAATCAGGATTAGGTATGACAGATGTCTGGTCCTGAGTGTCTGGGAAACAAGTTCAGGGAATGACATATAAATGTGTATGGTATACACATGGTATACAAAAGGTATTTTCTGGTTAAGCATATTTTACTATTATCATGTTATATGGTATGTTGTTGAGCAGCATTCACTCAGGAGCTCTGCACTGTGCACCACTGTGCTTATTCACCGTTACTGGGCAAAATTCCCAATTTGTATTGTATTATCTGCCCACCAGGTCCTACACAGGTCCGTAGACACGTGCCTTTAAAATTCATTAAAACTGACTCAATCTGCAGTTTCAATTCTGTTTCAATGCTAGTGTGGAAAGGAGGCTCTGTATCTTGGTAATCTGTGAAATCTAGACATAAAACAGAATAGCATTGGGAGAAAGTGAACTGCCTTTTTGTAGAACACCATTTACTTGTTAAGCAGTAAATGGTATTTAAAAAGTATAAAATCACTAAGGTTTGGAAACTAACTTTTCAAAACTGAATAATGTCCTAAAGAATAAAGAACTTGTAAATGTTCTCTTTTGTTAATCCTTTTAAAAGAACTAAAGAACTTATAAAATTTTTAAGTTGGTTAATTAGCTTTTAATTAGCCAATCTCCCACACCACGTATGCACGCTGTGGCAGAAGTGTGCCCTGTGTTTTTCATTCAAGCCATCTGGTAGCTTTGAGGTCTGATTTGTCCTTTGCAAAGACAGTTAGTCATTCTTACTCTCTGTCTGCACATCTACAGAATGGAGATAGCGCCCTCTGCTACACTTGACTGGGCCTGTGCAAAGAGAGAATGTCACTGTACTCTCGCCTCACTCAAGGTACATGATCTTTAGATATTCACAAGGGTGAATGAATGGAGGAGGACCCTGAGACAAAGGGGTTAATTCACTAAGAGAGGGTCCACAGTCAAAGTCAATGAGTACTGCAACTTTGGGGCTCAAATTCAGATGTTCCAATTCTAAGTCCAGTGATCTTTCTACTATACTGTTTTATACAGTCCTATTATTCATGGATTGTGTTTCTTCATTTTACTTGCTATTTTAAATGTTTACTCTGGCTTTTCCACAATTTTGGAGGTGTTTCTCTACATGTTTGGAAATTCAGGTTATAAGAAAGCAACTGTCAGCTATTTATGTCACCAGCCTTCCCATCCTTCCATTAAACCAGTATTTTCTAGATAGTAAGGCACTAGATAAAAGAGGTGTCATTTAGTTTGATGAATGGGCGAACACAGTTGTCTACAGTCCGTCTCATCTCACCTGCAGGGCAGGTTTACCTACCCAGTCATAAGGGCACACAGGGGAATGACTGGCCTCTTTCCCACTACCAAGGCTTGGAGACAGGATAAATGGTCAGGAGTTCCTCTCTCTCCCTCAATCTCCTATTAGCTTCCTTGAATATTAAGCCTGGGGCCAGGAGAGAAGCCAGTACCTGTCATCATAGGAGGAGATCCTCTTGCCATCCATGACTCGTGAGGGGGTAAGGGAAAGCAGGCTGAGGGAGTACAGCTTTTGTAGGAAGTGACTCTCTAGAAAAAGAAGAACACAGCGGGGTTCTCCTCAAGGTGGACACAGAGTCTACCCCAGAACACAGAAGACTAAGCCCAACTCACCTCTGACCTTGGCATCTTTACTGAAGCGCCACTGAGGCACAAATACAGTTATGTCACGGTGGCCACGGTCCCAGAAGTACTGCACAGCAATGGCAATGCCCCGGCTGGAGAAGTAGTGCTGGAGGCCATGCCTGCAGTGGGAAGGGGTCAGCACTCTGGGGGCCCAGAGGAGGGGCCTGGCAGCCTGACTACAGCGCTGGCCCCTCAGCACATGTCCCATGGTGGACAAAGATCCCTGTCTCAGCCCCCCTCCCTAGGACCCTAAGCCCCACCAGGTACTCACACCATGGCCACGTTGCTGCCATCAATGACAATATGGCGGAGGTCTGGCTGGCCAGGCACATTGGCGAGACACAGGGTGAAAGGATCCTGTAAGGCCTCCTGGAAACGCTGTGTGCCAGTCACCAAGTTGCCCCCCCGGGTGCCTCGTTTCCATGGAGACCCCCGACCTCTAGCCATGGACTGCTGCTTGTCTCCCCTGTCTCCACAGTGCCATGGCGGTTCGGGTGCAGGTGGAGGGCTAGGCACTCTTGGAGGTGAGGCTTGCCCATTGTGGAGCCGCTGGAGGAGGGAGGCTCCCCGGGGTTGAGCTGCCCTCTGACAGGGGCCATGGGCACCAAAAGGCTCACCCTGGACACAGACCCCTCCTCTTTCCTGAGGCACCCCCTCCTTCCCCAGGGCCTTCCCTTTCAGGGGCCCCACCTCCTTTGCCCCTTTAGGCACTAACTGTGGCCTGAAAGCCACTTCTCTCTTCCAGGCCTCTTCCCCAGGCAGCTCCTTCCACCCTAAATCCATCTCCCTGGGACCACTCTGTTTCCCTTCCTCCTTCTCCACAGCATAACTCTCTCCCCTCACTCCCCTTGACTCTCCCCGCCCCATGGATCCAGTGTCCAGGGACTCCCTGCCTTCACTCAGGGAAGTTCCAGCTTCCTGGCACTGAGCACCCAGCAAGCCTGGGCCCCTCTCCTCCCAAGACGAAAGTGTTTGCAGCCCCTGCCCCCTGGACACCTCCTGCACCAGACTCAACAACTCCTCCTGGACAGCCAGGGGCAGCTGCAGCAGGGCCTCTCTGTGGGCATCCCCCCAGGGCTGCAGCAGGGCAGAGAAGTCTCCCAGCACCCCAGCACACTGAGAGGCTCCCAGGGATGGCCCCGGCTGAAAGTCCCAGCTCAGCCGCTCCACAAGCCCCTCCACCCGGCTCTGAGCCATGACAAAGGCCTCAGCAAGGCCACTGATCATCAGTGAGCCGGGCGCTCCAGGCACCAGGTGGGCTGATGTGCTCCAGGTCAGGCAGTCAAGGAAGAAGCCCTGGGCTCCCAGGAAGATGCAATGCAGCTTGGGCGGGTAGTGGATTTCATCCTGCAGCTCCGGGCTACAAAGACCCTTCAGGTACTCCTGGTGGAGAGATGGTCAGAAAAAGGAAAGTGCTGGAATCCTAAGTGGCCCAGCCATCCGTTCAGGCTCATTGCGCTTCCCTAAGTTCCAGGATGCCTGAAATATCTACATGGATACTGCTCTTATTCCCATTTTATAGATCAGGAAACTGAGACTCTGATTACTAGGCTGGTAGGTGGTGAAGCCATATTGGAACCTCAGCCTGATTCCAAAGGAAGCACTGTAGCCCACCCTCCGGCCCCACAGTGGACTCTTTGGCGAGGCCTTGCTTAATGGGATTCTCTCTGCTCTCCCAAATAGCACAGAGTGATTCGTCCTCAAGTTCTGGCAGAACCTGTGCCATCACTGCAGAAATTAAGCCAAAACTCTAGACAAATACAGAGTTGGGAAGTCCCTCAAAGCTCAGGTGCATTCTGGTTGCCAGTGAGATAACCAAGTGCAGATCCTCCCCAGCCCCCTCCTCCTTCTGGCTCCCTGGGATGGGAGTCCTTGTTCCCTGGAAGGATCAAGGAGAGGAGGAGGTCACCTTGGCTCTGCTGGCATTCTCCTTGGGGCCCTCCAGCTGCAGCCAGATGTGAGGGTTCTGCAGACAGTCCTTCGGAAGGATGCTCATGCCCACGCGGAAGATACGCTCCACATGCAGCTGCTGCTGCCGCACCTTGTCCTCAGCCTCGGCACACACCGCAAAGCGGTCGGGGGACGCGCAGCCAGCCTCCCAGGTAGGCATGGCTACTTCCCCCAGCCCTGTAAGGGGAGAAGGCTGCTCAGAGTCTCACTGTCCCCTCAACCCAAATTCCGGTCTCCTGGCCTACACTCTAGCTGGCCTGCACCAGCGAGCAACAGGTCGAACCCAGTTTCAGTTCCGGTAAACAACCCCAGGAGGTAACATGCATCTGAATCCATCTCGGGGGTAAGGAAGGAATTTGTCAGATTATTCTGACGCAGCCTTCTCTCCAAAGAGGAAGTCATGGGTAAACAAGGCTGTCTATCTAGGATGGGAGTCCGGCCTTTGGAAAAATGACCACAGCACTAAGCAGGAAGGGGGTGGGAGGGGAGTGTTCCAGCTCGGTCTGGAGGCCAGAAGGAATGGAGAGATGACGAAAGAGTCCCTCTCCTGAGGACTTTCCAACCTCCGAGTCCAGGACGGCTTCTTAAAGATGAATTCTCTCCAGGGGCTTGCACTGGGCTGTCCTCTGAGGCCCCTTGTCTGCCATTGCCAAGGGTCTAGCCACTCCCACCCCTCCCCCAGAGTCCGCATCCCCCGTCCCCCTCCGTCCCGTCATGCGCCCCAGACCCGCCCACAGCCGACCGCGGCCGCCGCCCCCGGCCAGGTCCGCTTCCCACCGCGGCCCCCCGCCCCGCCTCCGGGCGCGGGGGAGGGGCGCGCCTACCGCCTGGGCCGCCCGCGCCGGCCTCGGGTCACGCCGGCCCCTCTCGGTGCCAGCCGGGCCCCCGCTTCGCCCGTGCCTCCACCCCTGGGGACAAGGGCAAGGGGGCCCGAATCTGGGCGGGCCTTCCCGGGTTCCTCACCCAACGGGCACCTCTCTTCTCCACATCTCAAAGTGTTTTTTGAGTCACTTCCTGGCCTGGGGCGGAGTCAGCCGGCTCCTCCCGGGGCTGGGCCTGCACGCGGCCTGGGCCCGCGGTCTGGCTGCGCGCTCGCTCCTCCCGCCCGGCCCGCCGCCCCCGCGTCCCCGACGGCCCGCGCAGCCGCTCGGCCCAGCCCTGTGCAGCCAGCGGGGCCCGCGATCTCTCCCTGCGCGCTTCCCGCCAGCCCTCCCGTTCGTCTCCCGTCTCGGGGTTCTCGCGCGCCCTACGCAATTTTTCCTGGGAAAGAGGAACCACTGGTTGAAAGTTGGTCCCCTCGGAAAAAGATGTGGAAAACCAAAGAGAGAACGTGACTAGACCAGGGTCACAAGATAGTGGTGCTCATATGAGACCCAAGCACTTTCCACCAAAACAATCGTGGGAAAAAAGACAAGGCCACCCCTTTCTTCCAACAAATGGAAAGATGCCACGGAGAAGGGCTGTTGATTTATTAGGAGTTTTAAATGAGGAGGAATGAGGAGGGGGAGGCAGGGGCTGTAGGAGCCGTCTCTTGCACATGCACACAGGCACACATGTTCACACACACACACACACACACACACACCCCCATGTTCTCCATCCCCCAGGTCCAGCCTTAGTGCTGTCCTATACAGATGGGCTGCCCTGGAGGTCTGGCTGTAGCCCTCCTGTCGGGTGGCTTCATCCCTCCTCTCCCTCCCAAAGCCCAACTGCTGTCACTTCATACTCTGCCAAGGAGGAGGGAACTCCAGTGACAGCAGGAGTAACTGAGTGGGAGGCAGGGCAGAGCCGTGGGACATAGAGAGGTATGGACAGGGGGTGCAGGGGGGATCTAGAGAGGGCTGAGGAGCAGGGTGACCTTGGGGAGAGTTGAGGAGAGGAGCAGAAACAGAAAGGAGTAGAAAGGGGGCAGCAGATGGGGACTTGTGGGTTGCAGAGCCACTCAGCCATGTTGGGAGCAAAGCTACCAGGTCCCCCACATAGCCCTGGGCTGCCTTTGGCCCTGGTGCTTCTGGCCCTGGGGGCTGTGTGGGCTCAGGAGGGGTCAGAACCTGTCCTGCTGGAGGGTGAATGCTTGGTGGTCTGTGAGCCTGGCCGAGCTGCTGCAGGGGGGCCTGGAGGAGCAGCCCTGGGAGAGGCGCCCCCAGGACGAGTGGCATTTGCTGCAGTCCGAAGCCATCACCATGAGCCAGCAGGGGAGACCGGCAACGGCACCAGTGGGGCCATCTACTTCGACCAGGTAATCCCCCTACCCTGTCCAGGGGACCTGGAAGGATGCTGCAAGGACCTGGAACCAATTGTCCAAGCCCACTTTGTCATCCTCAGACTGAGAAAACAGCTCCCTACATCTTTCTCTAATCTGGCCAGTTGCTCCTCGACCCCACTTACGCACACACCCCTCTCCTTGCCCTTCTCATATTTCTTTTGAATCCATACATTCCTCTTCAATCCCACTTGCCACCCTTTCTGCTCCTTACCCACTGCCCTTGCCCCCAATCCCAGTGGTATCCCTGAGCGCAGGCTTCCCCCAGCCCCACTCAGCAGGGTCTGCTTCCCCCAGGTCCTGGTGAATGAGGGCGGCGGCTTTGACCGGGCCTCCGGCTCCTTCGTGGCTCCTGTCCGGGGTGTCTACAGCTTCCGGTTCCATGTGGTGAAGGTGTACAACCGCCAAACCGTGCAGGTGATCTGAGCGCTGCGCCCCATCCCCAGCTCGGGAGAGAGGAGGGGGAGTAAGTGGAGCCCGTCTGACCTCTAGGCAGACCTCTATTGACCCATGTCCTGGGGGCCAGGAGCAGGGGAGGAACAGGCCTGGCTAGCGGAGTGTGGAGAACGTTTGGAGTCAAAGGCTGGCCACCCCTCAACCCTTCCAGGAGGGTCCATTATGCTCCAGGTTCCCCAGAGGAAGCCCTTGGGAAAGTGAGGGTCCTGAGCTAAGGGCTGGGAGATGGGTGCTAACTGGGCTCCCCTCCCCAGGTGAGTCTGATGCTAAACACGTGGCCTGTCATCTCAGCCTTTGCCAACGACCCTGATGTGACCCGGGAGGCAGCCACCAGCTCTGTGCTACTGCCCTTGGACCCGGGGGACCGGGTATCCCTACGCCTGCGTCGAGGGAATCTGCTGGGTGGCTGGAAATACTCAAGCTTCTCTGGCTTCCTCATCTTCCCCCTCTGAGGGCCCAGGCCGTTCAAGGATGGGAATCCAACCTCTGACCACTGCCTTCTGCCCTCTCCTGCTCCAGAAAAAGCATCTTTGGGGCAAGAGAGAGGCTCCCTCTGGCTGCCTGTATCCCACCTCCTTGCATGGGACCCTGTGTCAAACACCCAAGGTTAATAGTAGAAAAGAATAGGGCTCTGGCATCTCTGAACCTGGCTCTTCCCACCCACCCCGAGTTGCCCTTCCAGCTACCTGCTGCATCTCTTCATCCCTGCAGCCCCCGATCAGGGCAATGTTTGGCAGGTAGGGAGGCCTGTACTACTTTGAAATCTCTGCTCCTCCTGTTCCCCTGCCCCAGCTTCCTGCTCAGTGCCATTTGGGGACAGGTGGCACAGGTGAGCCTGACAGGCCCCCACAGGGGCCCAGATGGACTAGCCTTAGCATACCCCGCAGGCTTCTTCCTGTGAGGAGTGCCAGCATCACAGATCTCCGGATCTCCGCCAGCACCATCAGAAACTGAACCAGCACCGTATGGGCTAGGGCCAGAGGCTCAGCCACAAACAGAAGTTTAGGGAGGGCCACAGAGCAGCCTGAGTCTGTGGCTGGTGAGGCAGGAAGGGGGGTGTGCCTAGCCTGAACATGGTAAACATTCTGCATGTGTAGAGGGGCAGTTGGCAGGGAGGGATCCTGGCTGTCCCTGTGTGACATGTCCCAGATGGACTCTGGCCCTTACCTCCCCATCTGAAACTTGGGTGTGTGTGTTTGCTCTGGCCGAGGGCAGAGCTGAGAGTGGGTATACAGAGCTGGAGGTGGGGGTAGAAGCTCACACGTAGACCATGGAACACATCAGTGACCACGCATCCTCTTGCTTAGCCACTTCCTGCAACTGCTCCACGTTGGAAGTCTGAACTTCAATCACTCCACACGCTGCCACCTCCTTCCTCGCAGCTCCCTCACCCAGTTACTTGCACTCTGCCTGTTCCAGCCTGTTTCCACCATCTCTCTTCTTTCTCCTGATCCATGCTGTCTTCTCCTTCATAAGCTTCCTGTTACCTGGGACTCCATGATTCACCACTTCAACTGCTCTCCTGCTAGTATCATAAACTCTCTCTCTCTCATCTTATGCCACTGTCCCATTGGCCCAGCATGGATAAATCTATCAATAAAGTAAGTAGAGAATGGTGGTTGATGAGATACTACAGGATTACTAAAGAGAGGATGCCATTACAGTTTCTATTAGGGGTTACAGGATACAAGCAGGTATGCTGTAGAGAAAATAAATATGAAAGTGTGTATTACAGTCAAATTAAAAAGGATTTAGTAATGTTTGAGTTAAATAGGAAGTACCAATGTGAATTTGTGGTTTTAAAAAAACGGGCCAGGCGCAGTGGCTCCCATCCTGGCATTTTGGGAGGCCGAGGTGGAAGGAGCGCTTGAGGCCAGGAGTTCAAGACCAGCCTGGGCAACATAGCAAGACCCCCATCTCTACAAAAAAATAGAAAAATTAGCCAAGCGTGGTGGTGCGCACTTGTAGTGCCAGCTACTGAGGAGGCTGAGGCAGGCAGATCACTTGAATCCAGGAGTTTGAGGTTGCAGTGAGCTATTATGATGCCACTGCACTCTAGCCTGGGCAACAGGGCGACAGACACCCTGTCTCAAAAAAAAAAAAATTTTTTTTCAAACTTTGTCACTAAACTAGCATGGAAACATCAGAAACAATTTGATATGCATTCTTAGCACCTGGACCTTTGCCTCAAATATTAGTCACCATTAAAAAAACCTAGGGTTCCTTGGAGAATAGCTGCATGCCTTAAATAACTCTAAGCCTAGAACATGTTGTTGATGATGGAAAGCAAAGACACTTTTAAATGTATAGTGTAAAGCTAAAAAGGCAAAGGAACCGACTTGAAGAGGCTCCCACTTGACATGCTTTAACAATTTTATCATCTAAAGGATAATAATATAGTTAATTGGAACAAGTGAATTTTAAAACTCCATGAATCTATGATGATATTCCATAAGAAAAAAGTCACTATATATGTGCCAAAAGGTAATTAATATACTGAGTGAAGAAGAGTGAATAAAATTGACTATTTTTAGTCAATTGTGATAAGTAGAAGAGCATAAATATAGTAAGTATTTTGTCTACTTGCAAGGTACATTTACTTTCCTGTATCTGTATAAGTAAGGAGGGGTGGATACAGAGAACTGTGAGTAATTCCAGAAAAAAAATTGGAACTGTGCCAAGAATAAAAGGTACTGAACAGCACCATTTGTTCATACTTTGCAAACAGGAAGAAAGAGAGTCCAACAATGCATTACAAGATGATAATAAATTAGTCAAATGTCCAAAAGACAACTGCTCACCACTCAAATTTGATTGTTGTTCTCCTAGAAAGTAAAGCCTCTATATTACCCTACCAATTATAATGAGACACTAATAAGGCAAAATGATTAGGGTTAGGTTTGACTATAGCAGTGAAACCCAAAATAAGAATAGCTTTGACAAAAGGCAAGATAGTTTCTATCACCTATAGAAGAATCTGCAAATAGAGTCCAGGGACAGATGGCAGATTTATGATCACCAAAGCCCAGTCTCCCTTCTTGCTATTCTGCCGTCTTTAGCATGCGACCGCATGACCCAGGATGGCTCCTTGAGCTCCAGCCATTATATCAGCCTAACAGTTCCCAGGAAGGAGGAGGGGAGAAAGGGCACACCCCTTTTCTTTAAAGAAGCTTTCTGAAGGGTGTACTCAACATTTCTGATTGAACGTCATCTGCTAGAATTTAGTCACACCTGGACACACCACACCAGGGAGAGGCTGGGAAATTTGGTCATTATTCCAGGAAGCCATGTCCAGCTAAAAGTCAGGAGTTTTATAATAAGGAAGATGGGAAGATTAGATATTGGGGAAGACAACTGGAAGTTTTTCGAAATGTAAATAGACCAGATCAATTTGTAAATAATGACATGAAAGTTACTATATTAGTTTTCTATTACTGTCTAACAAATTAATACAAACTTAAAACAGTGGCTTAAAGCAACACCTTATCTTATAGTTTCTGTAGGTCAGAAATCCCGCAGAGCATGACTGCATTCCCAGCTCAGTGCTTCACAGGTCAAAAATAAGATATAGGCAGGATTCCCTTCCTTACCAGAGGGGAAGAATCCACTTCCAGACTCATTTAGAATTCAGTTCCTTTTGGTTGTAGGACTGAAGTCCCTACCCCGCTCCACCTTTGAGCCAACAACAGCAGGCTGAGTCCCCCTCTGGCCTACCCTTCTGCCACAGGTCTCTGACTTCACTGGAGAAAGTTCAGTGAGTTTAAGGATTCATGTGATTAGATTGGGCCCACCCAGATAATCCGGGATAATCTCCCTACTTTACAGTCCGTGACCTGAATTGCATATGCAAAGTCCCTTCTGCCGTGTAACATATCATATTCACAGGTTCCAGGAATTAAAGCATGGACATCTTTGGGACATGTGCATATCATAGTCATTAAATTTAAAGATGACATCATGTAGGGAAACGGCATCCAGTTATAATACACTAAATGCATGGAATATGGATGGGCTTATTAAACAAATCCCATGATATACAAGGTAAATACCAGCTCAGGTTTTAATCATTTTAGAAGGTGAGCCAATTTCCAGGTCCCAACCAAGAATTCATCGTTTAATAATCCAAAACTTGATCTGCACTGAGATAATAATCTTCTTTTGAATATTGGTCCAAACCGAGATAGTGTCCATTTCTTGGGTCTAGAAATTCATTTTTATAATGGGTTTAAGTGTAGATGTCATAAATTTTATAATCTTTCTAATGTGTGTGCTTTACCAAAATGAAGCTTTTAGAGAAGCTGACATATTAGACTGGTGGTTTAATTGAAATATTTAGGAGAATTTGATTAAGTTTGTAATCAATGTTTAAAAATTTTGACTTGTTAAACATATAGAATTTGATTTGTTGGTTATATAAAGTGTTTAAATGTTTACACAATTTTTGCTTAAGCAGGTTTATGAAACAAATAATTAAACATTAGATAAAGCATACATGGTGCTAAGTGTTTCTCTCTAGGTTCGAAAAGCTCCTTAGACTTTAAGAATCCTAAGAATAGAATCTGACTGTCCACTTGCCCTGTGCCCATGCCTTGGCAGCTGATTACTATAGAGAAAAGTCCCATTCATGCAGGATTCACTGTGGATCAAAATTCATGGCCTCAGCCACACCTGGTCCTCAATATTCCAAGCACTTCTCTGGTTTCCTCTGCAAGCTTCTTTCCTCATCCTCCCCAGGATCCAACCGCAGCCTTCTGCTCTCTCCTTAAACCTTTGCCCCACCAACTCTACCCCCACTGTCAGCAGCAAACAACCTCTCCTTCTACCTCACTGACAACACAGAAATGCCAGGCACGAGCCTTTCCCACCACACACCCACAAACTCACCTTCCTCCCCCATCTCTGCCTCTTCCCGTCTGGCTGGGTGGGAGACGAGTTCCTCCTCCTGTCAAGGCGGCTGTCTTATTCCTCCACCAGCCATGGATCCCATTTCCTCCAAACATACTCTTGTCCTTTACTCTCCTCGCTACTCACTCCTTCCCTTCAGCAGTTAAAGTTTAAGAGCTCAAGTCTCTCAAATCTAAAAGGAAAAAACGTAAGTATGGAAGTATTTGTAGATACAGTTATCCTCAGCTCTGTATGCCCCTGCAGCTAGTTAGCGGCATCTGCAGGAGTCTCAGTAAAAATAAGGAGTAAGGAGTGCTCGTCTATGTGCGCTGGTTGCTCATCTCTCAATCACGGGTCAGCCACAGCCTCCACTGCGCCACCTAAACTGCCCTCAGCGATGGCTCACCACTTCCGCGTTACTAAAGTTCACAGGAGCTGCTTCCTAATCCTCCTGTTGCTCAGACTCTCCATAACATTTGCCCTTGTTACCACGCCCTCCTTCTAGAGGCACTCTGTGCCCCGCCTTCCCTTGCTGCGCTCCCTGGGCTTTCCCTCCAGCCCTCTGCCC